GTAAAAAGAACAGCAAACAACTTGCCAGATGGTAACGCTGACATTTCTAGTTAGCCAATTTGAAATGAAGCAAGATAAAGTGTAGCAAAAACAGTTTCTAGAGTGTCATTTTCTCAAGGTCACTGACCTCTCGAAGAAGACGAATCTCAAGTAGCTCATGGTAAGCTTTAGCAGATTCTTCAAATCGGTCATGTTTCTGAAGGTCCAAAGCTTTGTGGTACAAAGCAAAAGCTTCTGCTTCCTATGATTTAAAGAATTAGAATGTATTTATAAGACAACTTTATTAAATATACTTTGATTTGTTATATATATCAGTGTTTTCACACTTKGAATACTTTCTGCTATACAGCAGAACATTTGTGTTACTAACCAAAAATAACTCATGTGAGTGAATTTTTACTTTGCAAAAGGAGGGTTCAAGAGATGAGACAGTGAACACAACTTTCATAAAAACAAAACATCCCTTCAACAAGAGGACAAAACGCCCATCAAGACAAAACTTCATTATGAAAATTGTGGGTTTACATACCTGAGCTTCCTTTGTCTGTGTCTTATGACTTTTGAAGGTACCTTCATAGTCATCCTCAACTGTGGAGCTYGCATTCAGCGCTGCAATTCGAATCTGGAATGACAGTTCAGAGGTGACATGGAATATGACATGTACATAAATCCCATTTTCCTTTGCAAACTGGATTTTTCTCTTTAATTAACTGGTACACAAACAATACTGCGAGATCTCTAGGTAAAGTTACAAGAGCTGTAATTAATTTAGTCATCACTAATTGCAAATAAACGAACATCAAAACCATTTCTCACCCACAATCAGTGGAAAAAAACAAAATTTGAAGTGTCTTCCAAGCAACAGCTTTCCTAGAAYAGACATGTGCATTAGAGTGATTTTTTTTCCAAATTTTTAAATTTCCAAATTCTTAAATCACTCCAAAAACAATGTTCTCAAAAAATTATGGCAATTTATTCTTAGTCCCAGGGAAAGAGAAAATGCTCAATTTTATTTCTACCAAAACATTTTGAAAGCCATCTCACAAAACCCTTACCATGTTCACAGCTATTCACAATGTCTTTCTCCAGGAACAGAAGGAAGGGTCTATCACAAACAGCYCTGGAAAGCAAACAGGATTACAGTATTTATTCTGTTCACAAAGAAAACATTCAGGAGTAAAAGACAAGCTGGAAATACTTTATAACTGTGCTTTAATAATCAATGAACCACCCCATGCCAAGAGATACACTGCCTAACCACTGAGGACCAATAATACTAATGGCAATTTTAACTAGAGACAGAAAATAAAATACTAAGTTAAACACATTCATTACTTCAGAATGGCTTTCAAGACTCTAGTCCTGCTGGTGAGGGGAGGAGTGAAAATATTGGCAACATAATTACAGCCTAAGGTTAATCACGCAGYTTATAACAACCGCTGAACATACATTATATTAACAATATTAATCCCTTTMAACACCAAAACTAAAACTAAAAATGCTTTCTGAATACTCATTTTATAAGCATGGATCATTACAGCTTAAAGATATTTACAGAATGGGAAAGGARAAAAATTGAAGGTTGTCTGAGTCAGACTGCCTTTGCAGCAAGGCCATAGTGGCTGGTGAACACACTGCATTGTCTCTGCCTGGAAATTCTTCTGATTGAAACTTTTCATTGCTGCTATCCCTGCTAGAACAGAACCAGTGTTCTTTCTAAGTATATTGCCCAACCTCTACAGACCACCCCTAATGCAAAAACAAGTTATAGCTACTGCATATACACTTGGATCTACTATATTTATGCAAAAAAAAAGGAACTGAACTTTTACTAACTAGCATTTCTTCACTCTGAAAAAGGGTACTAATATTTCCCATCCTTTTTACCACTGATAAAAACTTTGAAGGGATAAATACACCTTTATAATCTGTAAATACTTTTTCCCCATAGGTTAAATTACTGATTGAAACATCATGCAAGTAAAGRCAAAAATATATGAAAGARTTCTGTTCTGCTTTTGTAGAAAACCTTCACTGCTACATAATAAAACCTTCCCATCAACTAAAACAAGAAGATGACACACGCAAGACAGGCTAAAAACAGTCTTAAATATAGGAGACTACATTAATAGAAGAGTAAGTCCAGAATTAACCACAGCAGGAAGCAGTGGGAGTTTCGAACTATAAGCTGAATTAACTCATAAATCATCATGATTAGTTCTGCATGTAGACAAAATAATGCTTTGACAGGAATTTCATTCATTCAGCAATGAGAATTTGCTTGCCCATGCACCACTTGCTCTGTTCACTTGCAGCTAAATCAAACTGACAAGTGCACAGCAATAAAGCATTTTTCTCTTTAAGTCGCCAAATAAACATTAATAAAACCTCARATCTCTTTCAGAACAGATTCCTTGTCTGCTTTTCACATGAAGAAAGTATATGCACAGAGATTAATGGTTACCTCTTTCAGATATATTGAATACTACACATTTTGACAGAGTGTAGATGCTTATGGCATGTAAATAAGTCAGTCTGTATCATCCCAACTCAATTACATATTTAAATTGAGGGGGGTTCAGTCCACCTACAAAAATGCCTACACACAGTAATCTGCCCAAATTCAGTTTTTTGCTGAATCCAAACAATCTTGCTCAAGGTGGCAGAGGAATTCAACAGCAGAGACTATAGTCAAGACTTTACTTCCGAGGTTAGACTCTTAGGGAAACTGCAACCATAGAAAGCGTGGGAAAACTATTTCAATTATACTTCTTATTTACACCAAAACTTYGTAACWTACAGGAACTTAATAACAAMCATTTAGCATCTCTCCTGTCCACTRTTTAGAAGTYGAAAGCACAGAACCAAACAGAGCTGTGTAATGCTCCTAGGCAGGGTGTTGCCTCCACACAGCTTTTGGTGTGTCAAGCACGTGGGGGGTTATTTCACTTTGGTTTAAACCAGGCATTGTACATGGCTTCAAAACTACACTGACTGAGTTACCAGTGTCACAGCACTTAGAAACTGAGTATGTCGCCACAAGCACTTCCAGAGGAACAGAGCTACATCAGATAAGTAGGGGGAAAAAATTACTCTTTTATATTACTACAAACCAGTTTGAATTTTTTTTCAGACACAAGAATGTCTCAGCTATAAATCTGTGGCTACAACAGGTGTGCACATCCTGAAAAGGCAACCAGCCTTCTGCTTTCAAAAATCTTCTCTCCTTTTACCTTAGCAATTTAAAATTTAAGTGAATATTTCCAATTTTAGCTCTTGCTCCCAGAGCTTGTGTTCTCAACTTTTAAGCAAGAAACAAAGGGAGTGACTTGGGCTTTCCCAGCTTTTGCCCTTGTTRTTGCTACTACACTTGGGATCCATACATTGCAGACACAAGTTTAAAAAAACACTTAACTGTTGTTAGGGATTTCTTTTTTTTTCAACATTGCAAAGATCCGCCGCACTTTARGACAAGCCGTTTTTACCGAAACACGATCACTTTCTGCACGGAGAAGCAGGGACCCTCCTCACGCCGCTCGGCCGGAGGGGGGCACAGAAGGCCGGGAGGAGGTGGGAGCCCATCCATGTTCGCCTCCGACCGTGGCTCCGCGGAGGGAGGGGCGCGGCGAGGCCGCCCAGGCCGGGCTCTCACTGCTCTCACAGGGCAGGGCAGGGCCCAGACGCCGGCTGCCCCTCCGCGGGGCCGGGCGGACGAGACACTCACCTCGCGGGGCCGCCGCCGGCATGCCGMCGCTGCTCCCGGGGCGTTGCCGGGGCGTTGCCGGGGTGCTCCCGGAGTTTCCCTCAGGCGCGGGTCCCTCAGGCTCCCGCCGCTCCCCCGGGAGCCGCCGCACCGGCCGTTTCCACCGCAACCGCCTCCGGAGCCCCGGCACCAACAAGGCAGCGCCTCATTGGCCGAGCGGCGCTGCCCCGGCCAGCCAATGGGAGCGCGGCGCACTGGCAGGCGGGAGGGCGGGAGCGGGGCTSAGGGCGCTCTGCGGTCACGGCGTCCGGGGGTCAGTTCAGTTGGAAAAGAGCGCTGGGATCATCGGGTACGGCCTAGGACCGAACAGCGCCTTGTCGAATAGACCATGGCACTGAGTGCCACGTCCAGTCTTTCTTTAAACAGCTCCACGGACGCTGACTCCACCACCTCCGTGAGCAGCACGGTCCAATGTCTTCATCAGCTTTTCTGTGGGGAAATTCCTCCCAATATCCAATCTAAACCTGCTCTGGCGCAACTTAGGACTCTGATTGTTCCAACACCAAAGGTACCGGGACAGAAAAGTCATGCTGGCTGTTACCTCCCCTGGCCAGCCCGTTATCTGCACCTGAAACACTGGGTCTAGGTGTTTCCTTTCCCCTGGAAGAGTGTCGCCATTCCCTTTCCGTGATCCACCACTGAAG